CTTTTTTTTTTTTTTTTTTTTTATATACTAAGGAAAAACATGATCAGTAAAAGACAAAATAAGCCCCCAAAACCCTGGCAGTACAGAATTACTACAGAAGTCACCTCCAAGCATCGATCCTGCCACCTGCGAGCCAGCATCTCCAGAAGAGGAGGTCGGAATTTATCCAGCCCCAGCAGGTCGGGGAGCATGACACAGTGCATAGCAGCGAGCTGGCTCCACCCTGGTAAAACATCACAACAGCAAGATTAACATCATAAACATGGAAGCAATTTTAAGTTCCAAATGTCACCAAGTCAGTTTTGACATTGGCTGCTGGCCTGGTGCACGCACAGCAGATCTTCAGGAGAAGATGGGACAAAGAGGGAGAGAGAAAAAAAAAAAAAAAATTGAACCAATTTTGCAGCAGAACAACAGAATTGTTTTGTCTGCAGTGGGAATCTGGGGCTCACCCCATCACGGGCTGTACCCCGTCTTTTACTGATCCCAGCTGAGCTCTGGGCACGTGCTTTCCAGAGCGGGCAGGCAGGAGCCTCCCAGGCAGGAATCTCCCCAAACACAAGCAAGGGGCAAACGAGGCAGCAGCAGGAGATTGCCTCAAATCCGTCCTGATTAAACACAAACATCCCTCTTCTTCCCCAGCCCCTCTCAAAAAGACTCCAGGATCTAGCTGCATGCTGGGGTTTTAAACTTGCAGCCTTAAGAATATACTCAGCACACATACTAAATACAAAAGGAATCCCTCAAAGTATTACGGCCAATTTTTTTGCTAAAGCATAGGCCGTGGTTCTGAGCTCAAGATTTAGAAGCCCTCTTAGAACCAGAATTAGCATTACTTATGGTATTCCACGGCTTACGTGCACTCAACTACAGAAAACTTAGCACATGAACTGCCCCTAGAAAGATTACAAAGAATTTGCTGTCCCGTTTTAAAAGTTATGCAAATACATACAAGCACACGTATGTCTATCCTTATCTTTCCACCTAACCTTTATTGCAACACACTTACCTCAGGTGCATTGGTACTACAAACCTGCAATACTGTGTAGTTAAAACCAGACAAGATAAGCATAGCAAGCTCAGACAACACAGCTTGTAAAAATGCTCATGAAATATTCTATATGAAAAAGAACTCTTCTACTGCTGTGATCTACACTGACTTGGGAAACTGGAGAAATACTTCAGGGTGAGCATATAGATCTATATTTTTAGATTGTCAGCAATACTGAGCATTAAAAATTAAATATTTTAGCTAATAAAGCTCTTCATGCTGCTATAATAAATTTTCCTTAAAGAAAAATGTATTAAAAAGAGGAATTCCCAATTTGAGAGCACTGTTTCTCCTACTTGAAATGCACGAAAGCTGGAATTTATAGCTTAGTAAGAAGGGCATAAAAATTCTGATTTCAAGCAACTTGCTGGCTGCGATACAAGGGGGTTTTCTTTGGTTGGTTTTGGTGCCCGTCTTTCAGGCAGGGAGAGGTTCTTCCAAATGTGGATAAATATTTATTAGGAAAAATAAATCTTCCCCAACACAAAACCCAAATAGTTTAAATAAACACTTGAGGTTTTGTAAACACCACAGATGAAGTGTAAACAACACAGAACTGGTTTAGTTTGTTTTGTTCGAAAAGGAGCATTGAATTGGCAGTCCTCCATGAGTAAGGGGGAGCCCGGGGGGCTGGCACTGGCTGGCGGGGGAGCAGAAGGCCCGTCCCACGCTCAGCCCCAGGGCTCCAGTCGGGGCTGGCCCCCCGCACCCCCAGCGGGGACAGGACACAGCCCCACAGGGAACGCAACAGTAGGTCCAAGACACACAAACTAGATCTGCTCACCCTCTGCCAAGCATTAATGGCAAAGTATGCAAAAAAACCCTTACTGTGTCTTTTTGGCAAAGAAAAATTCCTACACAGATCAAATTAAAGTCACGTCATAACAATGATAAGGGACATTAGTTGAAAGTAAAAGACAAATAGAAAAGTGAGGAAAGAATACCTTCATTGACTAAGAAACAGGTATGTAAAGGAGGAGCAGTGTCAGAGCCAGAGTGACCAGCTTCAGTGCTAGAAGAAACAGCAGGAGCAACTTGCAGAGGAAAGAAGAAGAAATAAAGAGAAAAAAAAAAAAAAGAGGAAAGTGAGAAGAGCAGCTTCTGAAAAACAGATTAGTATCACTGAGGAATGAAAAACAAAACTAGAGGAAACTGTGATAATATCAAACTTAAAAAAAATTCTAGGTTTTACAAGAAGTGCAATGCCAGGGAGAGGAAGACATGCAACTGCAGAGAAACACAGATACACTAACAGAAACCTGCAGGCTTTGAAAAGACAGAAGTACCTGTAAACCAAGTGGTTACAAACGTGTCTCCAGCTAGCGAGATCTGGTTTGACAGCGCGGCTGACTACAAACCTTAAACTCGGGAGTTTCACTGCTGCTTTTTGTGCCTTTCCCGTTTTGAGATTTGGAATTTGCACTAGTCATTAATAACCCCCGAAATAACCCCTTTTAAACCTGGGCTGTCCCATCTGTCACTCTCAAACGGGACAGGAGGTATTGCTGGTGGGTAGTTTTCACACAGGTTCGTTTTAAATCTGTCCTCGTTCCAGTAATGTTAAACTTACAGCAAAGAAAGGACTAAGAATCTCAAGCAGAAGCATACAAAGCTACAGGCAAGCAAATACAGAAGGGCGCAGCTCAAGCGCGCGGCTCAAAGCAGAGTCTGGGATGTTTAATTTGCGAATGGCATCATTTCTTGGTGCAAATGTCATTTCGCGGCAGTTCTACACACTACGCTTCCACTAATGCTGCAGGACTTAATATTATCACATGAAAAGATGCACAGCCCTTATGGCATACACATGCTACAACCCGGGGTCAAGGTGGGGCTTTAGAGGTCACTGTCTGACACGTCCTTCCTATAGAGAAATTACCATATGTCATGCACAAGCATCTTCAAATTAATCCCCCTCTCTTATTCCGTTGCAGAACAACAATGGGTTCAAGCTCCTGAACCGATTAAGCATTGTCTTCTGAATGCTCTGTTTGCTTTTCCCGCAGTGAGCTTCTCCTGCCACCGTGGGACATCTGCAGCAAAACTGATTTTTCCGTCCTTTCCACACAAACGCACCGCGGCGGCACGCGCGTGGCGACAGCACGACTGGAGGAAATCGCTCCAGGACAGGCAAGCCTGCCTTCAGAAGACGTTTACAAAAAAGCTCTTTATTTTGTGGAAGGGATTGCCTGTAAAAATGCAAACCCAGCCCGTAGCGGAGCCAAAGCCTTACTCTGCCGTTTCTCTTCCGCCTGGTTCTGGGGGAGCCGTTTGCTCCCTTCCCACGATCCCTCACGGAGGCAGCTGCCCGTGTCACAGGGCAGCAACTGCATCTCTAACAGCAGCACTAGAAATTTCTGAGTGGCCAGGTACTGCAAGCAGTGCACGACGGGATGTAAAGGTAAGCCCTGAGGAAACTTCAGACCAAGGAGTACTGCTTACACCCATCTTGCCCCAAGAGCAGCAAGACATGCCAGTAGACACCAAAACCGTCCATTTAGGAACAGGAGCAGTTCTCTGTATTTTTGTCAGTGCACCGAATTTCATTTTTATCAATTGTTTCTCATCAATATTTCCAGGGGGTAACTAAAGCATGCCTATCCCCCAAATTAGCAAAGCTATCTCAAAAGAAAAATTACATAGCTGTCAGTCAGGAAGGATAACCCATAATGCATCCTATCTCTAAAACCAAACCACAGTGATAAACATGGTTTTTTTTTCCATAATAAATATGTTTTTGCCTTGCGCTGAATTTGCCAGATAGATAGACACCATCTCAGAAACCCTGACTTTTCAAACAATTATCTTTCAAAGAGGAAAACTAAATGGCTGTAAAAAAAAAAACAACAAAAACCAAACAAACCCAAAGAAGCCTCACATGTTGACACAAGAATCCTGATTTTTATTTCTGCTTTTTGTTACTGATCATTACTTCTCTATTTATGTAGCACCCTTGATCATGAAAAAAAAAAGCTACCACTCCTGAAATTGATTTTCCCTTTCCAACCACAGATGATAGTGAAATATTTATATTTAGGAAAAGAATAAACAGACACAAATGTTGCTGATGGGCGAGTTTCCTCCCCAGATACAAACACGCCCTTTTTTTGCATGAGTAAAGAAAATCACACAGTTGATGCACTTGTGCTCAACGCTGTGCTTACTAGCTCTCTAATCCAAGAGCAGTTGTGCAGTTTAAAGATGTATTTAAAGATGTGCATATGTCTAATGCACATCAGGATTGTACATTTTGGTGAATACCACGACAGGGCATTTGTATTCTGCAAAATGCAATCCTTGTGCAAATTGCACTTTTCTCTCTATTCATACAGCTTGAAAAGACAAAGCTGCAATAGTTAAAAGTTAAAAAGATAATTTCAATTTTGAACGGAAACTTCAAATAAATCCTGAAGAACATCTGCTTTACAGATTAAACGCCCCCAAAGGAACACGTTATGGAAAAAGAGAGAAAAGCCTTTCCTCTCCTGCCCTGTGTATAGGGAGGCAGCCGGGCTCACACGCACCCAGCTCTCACCACAGTCCCCTTGCTCCTCGCTCCTGAGCTCGAGGCACAGTCAGCCACATCACGGTGCTTTTACATTTACTTTATTTGTAGCATTAAGAGCAGCAGCTGATTTGCCCCATCAAACAGGAGCTTGAACTCCAAGGGGGAGAAAGGTGCCTCCTCCACCTCTCCAGTCCCAGCAGGCCTGTTCCTGAGAGCTCCTGCTGCCCGGAGGAAGCTCTAGTGGTGAATTTTTCCCCCTAATCTTGCGTATGCCCGTCGCTTACACCAGAGGCTGTTCCACTTCCTGCACCTGGCCGTTACACCCAGAAAAAAACAGAACCAACGCAGACTACTGAGGGATCCTTCGGTACCATCCACCACCATCTTTCATAACTGCAGCGGTGGTAGAAGCAGCGATAAAATAATTTTTTCCTCCTTCGTAAAAAAAGAGAGGAAATGCCTACGCACTACTTATGAGTATTTCCCTTTATGCTTTAGTTTGTAACATACATAAACATTCTCGTATTAGGCTGTATAGCACTTAGCTATAGCTTTTAAACCTCTTACTATCACCTCAACACCAGAATGTTTGGCAGCACCTAAAATATACAAAAATTGTCAGGGAATGGCTTCATGACAGCATCAGCATGTTATATTGATTCTTAAAAAGATCTTAGTCATTAAAATTTTCATCTAGAACACGACACTACATTTCCCTCCCATGTAGAAGCCAGCAATATTTTTATCACTTGATAGCGAGGTGATAACGTCAGTGTCAAGAGCTGAAATGACATATCAAATTGTTCCAAAGCAAGTGATTTTTTTTACCTTGCTTAATTTGTCCTTGGGCTGCATGACTTGAAATCGAAGGGGGTGTCTTCACTTTTGACATCTCAGGAGTGCCTGGCCTAGGTGGCCTAAACACAAAATATACACGAAGGGGGAGAAGAGGATATGGGAAGAGATGGCAAACAGAAAAAAAAAAAAAAAAAGAACAGATTATTCGTTAAAGATACTGTGACTAACAAACTGAAAAGCAACTCTATAAAAAGCAGTCGATTGGAGAGGAAAACCTGTATCTCATTCACAGTTCCTAGGAAAGGTTCTTTTTTGGTGATAAAAAGTTCACCTGTATGTTTTGATTTATTTAGAGCTTGACCTACCCTTTCTAAAAACTCTTTAAAAACAAGACCTACGGGCGCATACATTCGTACAAGTCCTTGTTCTACCGGTGGTGTAAGTCACATAACTCCATTCACAGCAGTAAGAGTTCTCCCAGTGTAATAAATATTACATTCAAGAAAGAAGAACTACGCACAGCTCCATCTAGATACCAAAGGTTTTCACAGCCATTTCGTACGTCAAACCCCACAGTAAGACTACACAAACCAAAGTGCTGTACTAAAACAGAGACTCTGACAGCAAGCTCTCACCACTTCAAGTGACTTATCTGCTGTACCTCGTCGGCCCTTTTTTCATGTGGTCTCCGATGAAAGTTGCGTTGGTCATGCTCATCAGCGTGTTGGCCAAGGAGATGACGGAGAGGAGGTGCTGAGTGGTGACAGCACGTGACACACCGTACGTCCCCTTCCCGAGCCCTTCCGTGATGGACATTTTCCTTCCCAACTCCACACCATCGTAGGACGGTTTGCCCACGGGCTGATTGTAGCCAGGAAGCATCAGGGACATGTGGCCTCCCCTAGAGAGGAGGCCGAAGGACACCGAACAGTGTGGCTTAAGCATCCCAAGACGATCAAGGCAAAGCTCATCTAGAACAGAATTCAGGCCCCAGGCATGAAGACAGGACATAAAAAGCTTTGCTGTATCCATGGTGAGATTATATTCTAATAGAGTTAATGGTTTAGATTTGCTAGAGCGATATTCTGGGTCACCGTCTTCTCTCCTCTGTCTTATCGATTCTTCATCCTCATCATCGTCATCGAGAAGATGCTCTTTTATATTCTCTTTGATTGTTTCCTTGACCTGCTGGAAGAGGACGGCTGCTCGTTTACCAGTCAAAAAGGAGCCTCCTTTGTCAGACCCACCAGAGGCTTTCTGTAAATTCTCCGGAGAGATGAGAGCAGTGTTGGGTCGGGACGCCTCCTCGGTCAGCAGCTGAATTATCAGGGCTTCTACGTCAAAGAAGAGCACATGTACATCTGGATCTGTTAGGTTAGTCTTTATAGCTTGAACCATCAGGGAGTTATGGGAATATTTGGGTAAATTCCCCTGAAAAGAAGAAAAAAAAAGTAATCCAACTGAAATGTCAATTTTTAAAACATTTTTCACAAAACTAATTCACAGATTTAGGAAGCTGTGGATGATCAAAGTTTGAAAACTCACACGGGTATAAAACATGCTAAACGTGTGAAAACATCAGTGAAGAATTTTACAGCACTTCTCACAACATCAGGCATGTCAGACTGGGGATCAAGTGGTACACCCCTAAAATACAGAAGTTTCACTTCCAGAAGTTTCAGAAAAACAGAGCTCTCTAAGACAGAATTTCACATTTCTTTCTCATGAATTCTAAAAAATAATAGTTATACTCCAAGGAACAATAAAATGTCAATATTTTGTTATTAAAACACATTAAATATTTCATATTTGGTTACTAAGTATAGCTTCAGTTTATGCCACTGAAAAATAAGCTACTAATAAATTTGTCCAGGTATGCATTTAGTGTGTCACTTGTTCATTCCACTGCTTAAGTCCATGTTCTTCCTCCTTCCCTTCCTCACAAGGAAGAAAAAAAACTCACCACAGAGAAATTAATTTATTTCTACCGACACCCAGTAGCTTGCACTTTTCAACCCTTTTCATTCTACTTCTGAACACTAACAAATGTATTTATCACTAGGAATCCCAGCGACAGGTGTGTATTCTATTTAACATCTTACAGCTGGGAAACTGGACGTGCATACGTACCATTTATTTTCTCTCAAGGACTTTTTTCAAGACAGTAAGCACTTCAAGTCCTACAACTACTTGGCTGCTTTCAGTTTTGTACAAATGTCACAGCACTTGTTTGAAAACTGAAGTAATTTTTATATATTCCTTTTCCATTATAGCTGTAAAGACCGATTTGTCTCTCCCAACGCATTCTGCTTTTTCTGCAGCTATTCATTACTGTATATCCCTGAAGAGTGCAAGATTGCTTTTCACAGTAAAAAAAAACTTCCCTCTGAAAAACTGCCCTTTCCAAAGTTTTACATCAGCTTTATGCTTGGGAACCGATCGGTCCCAAGCCTGGATTGACCTGACAACCGATCGGCCTGACTGCCATTGAGAGCAGCTGCTGATCCAGCTGCAGCTTCTTCACGATTCCCTTCTCACTGCCACTTTGGAGTAACTCAGGAGTAACCTTTCCCCTTGACGGGCTCGCAGCAAGAGGCTCAGGGGGAAAAAAAAAAACAGAGTAAGAAACCACTCCTGTAATCCTGTCTAAGCAGAATATGCACAAAGGGCGTTTCTCTAAAGCAACCCCCTGCGTTAGTCTGATTTGTTATGGTAATCTTCATTTTTCTACCACAGTAAATACTTCAAGTAAATACTCACAGGACGATGCTCAAGAAACACACCTAAATGTTTTACATTAGTCCAACGCGCTCATTTTGTAACAAGCCAGATACAAAAGCACACATGCACACACAAAACATACAAAAGCCTCTCCAACAATGAAACACAGGCCTGGCAAAGCCTTCCATACCATCTGCTGTTCCACCACAATCAGATCATTTTTAATTTCTGTCTTCCCTCGAGTTACGTGAAATGGATTTTATGTAACAAGGTGAAGGCACTTGCCAGAAGGAAAATTCACATTTGGTCAGAGGGATGATGAAAGAAAAATTAAACAGAGCCCACCCTCCTCACTCCCTGCTCTTAAGTTTCTTGGGTCTAAGGTACCCCGGGGTCAGCTTGGAGAACGAACACACAGAGATGGGCCACGAGAAGCAAATAGTGGATAATTTACATCCGAATAGAAATAATTCAATGTCAATAAATATTGTTCTAGAAGGCACTGATTTAGTCATGTTCCTTACTTATTAAAAAAAAAAATCCAGGTATTTTCTCAGAATGTAATATAGATAACTTCTCATTAAATGGTCTCTGGTACGGGTCCCAACGGTAAAATTAAAAGCATCCCTATAACCCAAATATCTGAGGACTAACGACCGCTGAGCTGAGGTGCAGCAGCCGTTTGCACTCCCAGCGCGGGGGCAGCCCCCCAAGGGGGGTGGTGGAAGGAAGGTCCCTCCCGGGAACGGGCGCTGGGTGCCCGCGGGCAGAGCGGTGCTGCGCTCTGCTGGCCACTGCCCGCCGCCGGCCAAAGCCAGAGGAAGCCAACGGCCAGCACACGGCTCCGTCCGCTCCGGGTTCGGGTCAGAGGGACCGAGCACATTCAACACCCGTCCGCTCCCACAGGGCTTTCTGAGGGAAAAAACATGCGCTGAGCAGTAGAGTTGTGGAATCCCTGCCAGGAGCGAGGGAAAGCGGGTCACAAGGAGAGGGCAGGCTGGTGGCCCTCTCGCCCAGCCCCTGCCCAAAGCAGGAGCCACCACAGGTGGTTGCTCAGGGCGAGCAAAGCCTCTCACACCCCCCCCTAATACCCAACTCGAAGGATACTCTTCCCAGTCTCCTTCAAGGCAATTTTGCACTGCCTTCTATTAATCTTTAACAGAAAGATAAAAATTTAAAAGCCAGGGCTCATGCTCCTTCTGTGACAAAGTTCACAGAACCCTCACAAGATCAGGACTCGCCTCCTCTCTGTATTTGGCCCAAACAAAAACGCACGATGCCCAAGGGGAAGCTCTGCCTTCGTGCTCTGCTCAAGGATCTGCACTGCCACGCCACGGAGCCCACCAGTTAACCTCCCACCCACAGTTAAGCCTGTTTCTAAAATTCCCCCTTTTGCTTCTTTGCTCCATCTCTACCATCTCCGCAACGTGATGCCGTTTGCTGCCTGCCAGTCTTCGCAACGGGCAGTCCAAATCCACCAGGCTGGGTAATAATTAGGCGTTAAAATTAACAGGATACTCAGAACTAGCTCTTGCACCATTCTATCCCCCACACTGAAGTTCCTTACATTTTTTTACACTGTACTAGCTTTTCTTGGGATAAATGCCATAGTGTACTCTATTTGCTCTTCAGAATAATAAAATTAATGCTAAAATGTAAAAATTAACTCTTTATACAATTTACAATCCCATTTTTTTCTTATTGCAAGACAGCAATTCGGAAGGGAGCTCATTACTAGCTGTTAAAAAAGGAACTTCCCCACACCTCGAAGTATTTAAGGTGCTTCCAGTTTGTGAGATAATAACCAGGACAGAGAAAAATCCTCCCCTGACAGCAGAGGCCAACGTGCAGGCTCCCTCGAACCCTGAGCCACTCTTACCATCGTGGTATTGCCAGAGGTCGCCACAGGAGCGTTTCCTTGTGGCTCAGGTTGGCGAGCAGCCTGCTGTTGTGCCCAGGAACAGCCCTAGAAGCTCTGTCTTTAATTTTGTGTCTAAAGGAACACACACGTGAACGTGCCGTGCTCCCTCTCTCCACAGACACACAGCGCTCAGGAAGGACTTAATGAGCACCTCTGCTACAGACAGCTGCATTCCAATTCATCAGCTGAATCAGAAAACATCATTTTAAAAGTCCTTAAACATTAAGCATCAAAATATTTAGGAATCAACTAACCTTATTAATATCTTCTACCATTAAACACTTAAAGTCTTTCACAAACCATAATTAATTGTCAGCATTTAAGTTACTTTGGCTCCATTTATATCTACTTGTACATATATTTCAGTAATACTTTTTCTGAACTGTCCCACAGCAACAATTACCAAAATAAAAGTCAAGCTCTAGCTCCTTCTTTAGCAAGATCTGCAGGAACGTATCAAGGGGGGAAGAGGGGAAAAACCCAGATCCACCCCGACTCCATTCCCCCGAGCTAGTGCCAAATGAAAAGGGGAGGCTTGCTGCTGACAAGTTCCTTGTCTACACATCAAGGCTACAAGTTAACAGAGAGCAGACAATCGAGCAAATAGTCCAGATTCTAGGAAACGCCGCTAAATCCAGATTTTAAATCAACTCCACCTGAAGAAACCCTCCACCAACAGCAGAATGCCCACTGAGGTGGGAGGCAGCATCGTCAACAGCAACGTAACGTGGGGAACAACGTCCAGAGAGAGATGGAAGGAGTTGTGTTGGCTGATGTTAAAAAGGTGTTACTACCTATCTAGAGAGGGATTTATTTGGTGCATGACTGAACTTAGAGAAGGCAACAGTGAAAGCAGTGCAGAGTTAGACAGTGAAGAGGAAGTTTAAAGGCTCCAGCAAGGAGAAGCACTACCACTGAAAGCACAAAATAGAAACAATCTAAGTGGAATTTATTTTGTTAAGATGTCACTCTTATTTAGAGCACCTGCATTGAAAACTGCACAATGAGGCTGAAGAAGGCCAATACTTTCTGTTCAAGGGAAGTGAACTCCCAGGACTGACCCAAGACTGGGGAAAGCTGGTTTAGGTTTTTCTATCAGAATTTCAGAGAACCTTTCAGTTACAACAAAGACTTCCCATATTTTACTCAGTTATTTACGGAAACAAATGTTTCGGGTCCTGCAAAGTGAAAGGCAGCTTACCTTGTCAGAGGCCTCGGAAGCGAGCAGGTTGGTGGCCAGAGTCTGCAGTTTCTGGTGGGCCACGTTTTTCAGCGCAGCCAGACTGCGCCTGGTCATGGCCTGCTTCAGGTTGACAGCAGGGTGGCTGAGGGAGTCCACAGCCGCCGGGACCGCCTCGTCGCAGGCGTTCAGGATCTCCACCGCCGTTATCCCCATCACGCACCGGTCCAGCGCCCCTGCCAGCGTTTTCAAAAGCAGGACTTTAGCAGAAACAATTCAGAATGTCCAGAACAGCACGAGCGCAACAACAGGCAAAAATAATTTAACGCTGCAGGACGCAACGCATAAAACTTTTTGTTGTGGTAACAGCTACTGTTAGAACCGATACTCCTATGGGGATGGAGTTTTCTTAAGTTTCCACGAAGCTGAAGTATGTAAGGAAAAAACACACCAACAAAAATCAAGACAAGCTTAAACCACCCACCACGTGATTCTGTCCCGACCAGAACGTGGTGCCAGCAGCTGCTCAGCACTCTTAGAGGAAGGCTGTTTGCAAACCGTTCTGCATTCCCTCTCCCACCCCACTACCTGTGTGCATTAAGTTTTCCCTGATGGATCTCAGGTTCCTCTTTGTTTCCTACGGCTTCAGCAAAAAACAATTCTCATCTAGTTTATACAATAATATTCAGGCATTATTGCAAGTTTGTGGTTCTTTTTCCTGACGTGAGCTAAGGAGTTAGAAGGCAATTACATAGGACATGTATCTTGATGCATTTTTTTCCCCTTATTTTCTCCCAAATATCATAAAATTTTCTACAAGTCTGTTTTGATTTTATGCCTTCTTGACCATTCCATTAAGGCTCAGTTTTAGTTTCTTTTAAACTGTTAGTCCCTTTTAAAAAAAACCCAAACAACAAAACCAACCCTACAACAAAACAACACAAAACCCCTGACAAACGCTTCCTTGACTCTGCAGATGAGGAAGCTGTTGTAGATTCCAGGTGCTGCCCTCCCACACCAAGCTCTCAAGCAAACTGCCGAGGAAGCGCAGCCACTAACGAACTGCGAGGACACTACATGTGCAGCTGTTTTAACTGTCTCTCTAAAGATACCCAGGAAAACATTTAAGGGAACGATAGCCACAGCAAGCTACGCTTCCCCAAATCTAAATTATGTCAAATACTAAAAATATGTGTTTAACAAAAGCTTATATAGTCTACAAATTTGGGAACACGTGGAATGTTAAATTTCCAAATACAGATGTGCAAAAACCCCACCAACCTTTAACTCTTCTCTCGGATGCAACTTATACAGGAGTATAACCAAATACATGTATTAAAAAATTGTTTAATCAATGTCTTTGAGCTTAACCTTACCGGTATCCATTTGCCAGACGTACACAGACCCATCTGAACACCCCACCACCAGATAGTCATCCGAAGGCCTCCATTTTATTACTTGAATAGGGAAGAGGTGACGGGATGCCAGCATGATGCACTTTTTCTCCCGCAGACTCAGAAGACCTACGGAATGATCACTGGCCACAGAGCAAATACAGTGCTGGACCCTTGCCTAATAAAAGGAAAGAAAAAAAATGGAAAAGGAAGAAAAGAAATCTGAAACATAATGCAGAGGATTTGCATTTAATAATCTCTTCTTCACTGGACTAAGCATGGTGATCAACAAGCTATTTTATAACCAAAAATCAGGCACATCAGTCTGGCTGAACTCACTGAGGTCACTAGAAACAGAACCGCACTGGCAGAAATTCTCTGGAATCCCACCTCTTGCACATCGTAAAGAGCGAACAGGTCCCAGAACCTGTCTTGTTGAGCAAAAAAAGAGCAGCCCCAGTTTTCAAGTAAATCAGTGTCATTTTGTTCATTAAATTCTACCTACTCATCCAAGTTACAACAGAAAAAATTGCCTTTAAAACCTGTGGGCTAAGGTGGGGAACGCTGGCTTATCGCATTTCCAACCACCGTCAGGGCAGAGACTGCTTCCATGTCGTCCTCTCCCACTGTTCCTGCTGGGTATCGTAAAACACCAAGCCCTCCCCTAGCTAGCTGGGTTTTTATATCCACCTTTTCCTCTATTTCTAATCACCTACGTAGCTAAAACTTGATGCGAACAGAACCAAGATCAACAGAAGAATTAAGCCCTTTTTAAGCATCTGCAAGAGTTACACACCGGGTGAGTGGTACCTCTTCAGCATTTCACGTTACAGTCACATTCCTCAAGGAGGATTTGAGGAGCTCTACCATTTATGGAAAGTGTGAGACAGGTTATCAGACGTATTATGTAAAACTTACGCTACAGTTTTCTGGTGGAACTAGAAGCTGTGTAATTTCTCCACCATGTACACAGAAGATATGTTTCATCTCTCCAGAAAATATATCCCATATGATGACTGAGAAATCCACACCACCTGAGATCAAATACCTTTGATCGTAACGAGAAGAAACCTGATGAGGATACAGTAAACATGTAATTTTGTTTCGATGGCCTCGGAGAGTCCGGTGAGGTGGCCAACCTGGGAAATTGGGAAGGGGTGAAAGGGGGAAAAAGGGAAAAAAAAGAGACAGAAAAAATATAATTCTATTCAACGGAACAGTTCACAATCCAAAACACTGGTTTTGATAAAAGAAAAATACAGACGTACTGCAATTTTTGACAGAAGTTCTTACAGAATTAGCCATGTCTTTTTTTAAAATGTTCATAATTTTTTTTTTTACCGGATAAGGACTGAATAATTCCTTTTGTCTTGCTGTACAATCTCACTTTAAAGTAATTAAGCTGTCTTAAAACAGCCCCTCCACCCAAAGAAAATCAGAAAAATATAATAAATCTAAAAGGCCAAAGATAAGAAAAAATAAATTCCCTTACCCAATCATGAATTTTTCCAAAGTTATAGACAAAATGGGCCCAGTAAATTAAATACCAGAACTGAGTATTCTGTGCAACACCTGCAGGACGGCGTGGAACTTCCCTCCTCCACGTGATCAGACTTTCTAGCAAGCACAGCAAACCTTACACAGAATACACAGGTACTTCTGGATTTTTATGAGGGTACAAATCACCAGCATTTACTTGTGGAATAATGCATCAATTTCGAGGCAATCCAACTTCATGTTAAGAAAAAAAAATAAATTTCTAGGAAGTTATATAAAATAGATCAGTTACACAAAGGAAACAGTTTAACCAACAGCATGGTGTGTAACTGTCAAGCTCATAGCTGTATTTACAGAAAAATATTTACATGTCTTATGCAGCACTTAAAAATCAAAACCTAAATATTTGTCCTGCAACTGTGATCACAAATGTATAAAAACAACATTATCTGGAACCCAAATATCCAACAGCAGGCCAAGGTTTAACCCTCAGCTAAGGCCACAAAGTCAGAGAGGAGCTGTCGGATGTGCTGTTTCCCCAAGGAGATCCTCCCACACATCTCTGCTACTCATCTCAAAAACCCCAGAGAAATATCCCGGGTTTCCTAGTGAAGGGAGCCCCAAACTGATGCAAACCAAGCACAGTTCATTTGTGATTTAAGTTTCTCATTACAGAACAGAAGCTCAGAATTGTTAAGAACGTGGTTACATGATTCCTGCCTGTAAAACAACTTGACGCTCACTCGGTGAGACTATTTCTTACTTGAGTCTAGCTCGTAAGTGACAGGCACAGGCTAACCCAGCCGGGCTTTTCCAAGGCTTAGTGCATACCTCTCCTGAGCATGTGCTCCCCTTGCAGCAGCTGAACGATAGCCGTTTGTGTGGCTGGCACAATGACAATGCTCCCGTCCTCGCGGCCACAGACCAAACGCCCGTGGGCGGGGATGTACACGCTGGCCGTGACTTTAAGTGGCTCGTTGATGTTTGGTATTAGGCTTAGTTGGTCTATAATCCCAGCAGGGCGAGGAGTAAGTTTATCAAAAGCTTCCTGGAGGGATATTGAAGTGGTTGTTTGCAGTCCTGTTTCAAAAGAGAAAGAGGAAGGGGTAAGGCAGGAGGTGAATTAAAAAAAAGAAGTGAACAGAAAGTAGGAATGCTTTTCTAAGACAACTTCATCTCACAACACTCTGAACAATGTAAAAGCTACATACTGGAGATTAATTTACTACATAAGAGTGAAGCTGCCACAACACATGGAAACAACACTGCTGGACTTGATCTTAAAGGTCATTTCCAGCCTAAGTGATGCCATGATTCTAATATACGTGAGAACTGGAGCAGTATATGGTTTGAGCTCCAAGAGGAAGTTACACAGGCAGACAGCAACGACCACAGCTAGTAACTAGAAAAAAAAGCAGTTAACACCTGAAAAATATTCAGAGTACATTAAGATTTTTATCATATATGAAAAAAAAAAAAAAAAATCACTATAACTCTTAGAAGCAGCTAACAATTCAAAAAACCACCTCATGGGTTTGTAGGAAAAGCAGCAGTGCTTTAACCAGCAACAAACACACAAGAAAAAAAAAAAAAAAAGAGATGCCCAGTAAAAGACTTGGCAAGAGGAGTGTTCATTAGAAATACCTTTAGCACTGTCTTGTTGTTCAAGAGTATCAGGCACACTCCAAATACAGAGTCTCCCCGAAGAGTCTCCCTGGATTAACAGCTTATAGGAAGTCTCCCTGTGTCCATAGAAGAACCGGGTAACCGGAGGACATATGAGTAGCTGTTAGAAAGAATAAATTAACAACTTCAGCACACACACAAACCACGTAGCACCCTCAAAATTGACTTTCCCCACAATCCACTGTATCTTTTAAAAGCAGGATAAAAACTAGCTACTGTATGCTTTATCTGTCTTAGAGGAGAAAGAATACATACAGCAATACGAATGGTTAGTCACAAAACAAGTCACAGGTTTACGGGAGAGGAAAAAAAAGATTTTTATGTATATTTGGGTTTGTTCTAAAGATATTCATACTGAGAATATTTTTTATATGTGTGTATTTTAAAGTTGTTAACATTCTAACTGCAGTGATGAGCTGAAGTTACACTACTCAGTAAAGAACATGGTCCACAACAGAAACAAAAAACCTGTAGTGTTGATTTACAACATAAAGAGAAAAAAAAAAAAATCAAGTATATAAATTCTTCAATGTCCAAATTTGGCAACAGATTAAGTGGTCAAGATAAAAAAAAGCAGAATTCCTACAATAGTTTTGTAATAAAAGCATTTGTAAGTCATTTAGTTACACCTAGCAGTATAGGTGTAAGTACCAGCTACACCATGCAGCAACCTTAGATATATCTGAGCAGATACAGCTCACAGCACAATATAAAAACAAAGCACAGCTCAGAGAGAACTCTGGCTTATAAAATTGGAATTTCTTTACAAGGATTTAAGCTTTCAAATTCCAAGTCTCGATTCTAAAAGCTGTTGCTCAGTTATTGCCTAATCATCACACACACCACGACTTGGCTTCTAATTCTCCTGGTGCTGATGAATAATAAACTGTTAGTATATAGGAACTAAAGATCCACTTGACCAGATTAATCTCTGCATTTATCTGAAAACCAACAAGAACTACACGAAACAGCAGGGATACTGCATCTGCTCTCCTCCTAAGTGTCTACTTTCTCTAGGAAAAGAAGAAATCCTGAAGGTCTACTTTGAAAGAGGAGGATTGCTCACGACGTACGTACGCTTCAACTCTCTAAAGGAGAAATGCAGTCTGTAAGAGAAACACCCTCCAAAATTTTACCTGTTTATCTGCTCTGTCCAACACACTGTACAATAAAGGCGGAATTAAATTTTCTACTGCTTTCCCCACATCTCTGCGAAATGAATCACTGGCTGGTAGACAGCTGGGTTTAAGAAGAGAGAAAAGAATAAAATAATATTAGAGAGGCATTACTACATTCCTAGCTGACTAAATAATACTAAGAAAAAGCAACCCCCACGCCCATAAACATGACATTTTTCAGTTGTTAATACAGTGTACAGATCATTACTCTAATTTTAATGTACAGGGTATGCTTTGTCAATTTGTGGCTGAAAATGTGTCCAGCTCAGTTCCCCAACATGTTCAGAACTGGAGGAAAAAAGAATGAAGGAAGCCTGGCTTTAGGTCTGCTTTGGAGTTCAACACATTTGGCCTCAGACCCAGGAGCAAAACACTGCAAAGCCCAGGACTCCTCCAGCAGATCACCAGAACAATCTGCTCACACCCTCACGCTCTGATCACATCAGAGTGAGACATTCTCATGCGATTTGTGAGAATATTCAAGGATCTCTAAGATAAAACCGTCTCTCTAGCCAGGACAGAGATGTTCGCATGTCATGAAGATGTCAGAAGAAAACTAGTGAAGTTCTTTTATTCTACTTTTGTTATTCTCCATTTATTTAACCTTTTTGATACCTAGTGCACAAACTCAGCTGCTGGTGCCTTCCCTTAGTGTGTTGAAAGAGTATTCTGTTACAGTAACACAATCATCATTTACATTCTACTCCAAAATCTTATTTCTTCCTTATTTGGACCTTGTTGGGGAAATACTTAAATTACATTTTATTTTAATTTATGGCACTTGTTCAACAGCGACATGCACCTCTTCCCATCACACAGCTTCATTTGGAAGTGAAAAGGAGTCAGTGTAATATCAGAAAATAGTGAAGCAGTCCTGGCTGAGGCAATGTGAATCACTGAGCATCGCTTCAACATGATACATTTAGGGAACACACTTTAAAGTATGCTCACGCAATCCTACTTTCTGCAGCATCCCTATGATTTTGTAACAAAATAAAAGCCAAAAATATTCAATGTTGTTTCAAAAGTTTCTCATGTTATCATCTCCCAAAAAATTATCAAGAAACAGAGTATTTCATTGTTGACCACCTGGCTGGTAATTTATATATGAAACTTTGTCCATCTTCCGTCCATACAATCACTTTATCAGCTGACACAAAGTCCCCGCCCGTCCAGGTCTGATCGTTTTCACCAGGGACTGAACATAAGAGGGAATAATCTCCAGCATCAAAAACCTGAAAAGAAACAGAAAAGTCTGTTGTTAACCCACGACAGATTAAAACGCCCAGACAGCAGCTAATTCCATTTTCAGTACAGACACATTAAAAGGACTTAGAGTATCTTGATCTGAATTTCTTACTGGCAGTTTAATTAAATGAGCTTCTCGAGTGAAAAGCAGGCAGTGGTGCTCGGCTCGCTTGCCTTACCCTCCAGTATCTGGAGCACACTACCAGCAAGGACCGCTGGGTAAACCCACAGAAGGAAATGCTTTGACAGTTCTGACAATAAATAGGTTTTGACTCCTCTTCAAATACTGGTGTTGTATCCTAAAAAAACAAAACCAACATTAAATTAACTGCATTTTAGTTAAAATTATCAATCTAAATAGAGCCATATTAGTTCTGTAATAACATCTTCAAAAAAGGCATTTCTTGATGGTTTTAAATTTGCTCGAGTCATGAGCTTGTCAATGTTTCTGTAAATTTTAACTGCAATAAACACATTTTATTTTGATACTCCTATGGGTATACGGTATCCCAACTTCCCTGTGATAAAGTCTGCAGACTCGTCTGCAAGGGCAGCCACTTCCACTGGTTCCACAAGGCTCTCCACTCCCACAAAAAACAACCTCACTGAGAGAGAGCAGAGAAACTCTGGGCAGCCAGGCAGTGAAGGCAGAAGTGGGGACTCAGATGTCCTAGATCACAGCCCCTTACTCTGCTCCAGATCTCTGTGGCAAGACAGAGAGATTCAGATTCCCTGAAATATTATTTCCTCATCTTCAGGACAGGGAGTAAGCATTCTGTCCTACACAGAAAGCACTTAAGCACTCGGTGTGACAGCAACCAGCATCTGAAATAGAGCATCTCTACGGAGAGCAACGCCCAGATGGAAATCAGATAACAAGAAAACACCCAGCTGATATTTTTTTCTTGCTCAAATTGAACTTAGGAACAAGACCATGTGATGGAAGAATGACTATGCTGGTTTTTAAGACGCCAGATGGCCAACTTCTAAGGAAAAACCAAAACACTTGTAGCAGTTCTTATTCTATTATTCCTCCTAAGAAGATCTGCAAGAGCATGTGGTATCCTCTTTGTCACTTAAGTCTAACAAATTCCCCAGCTGGACAGATCAGCAGGGCCTATTTAGTATCCTCACCGCCGACAAGCTACCTGGCATCCAGGCAGGCCGCTGAGAGCAAGCGGGGTCAGCTCTGCCTGCACTGAGTAAAGTTACAGACGCAGTACAGCACCCGTACCAGCTTGGGAAGTTAAACATTAACAGCCTTTGTTACTGAATTCCCTTTGGAACTCCAGACTCCTGTGGAATGGAGCACAAGATGACTTACAATGAGAGAACAGGACTTTTAAAGAGGGAAAAGTTAGAAGAAAATAATTCTTTATTAACACAACGTTTGTATATTAACACAAATCATTACATGGTATAAAAAAAATTGCAGAAATTGGAGGCTATCCTACTCTTAATTTTGAAAATAAATTCTGGGTCAAACATAAGAAAGATTAGAAGTTCTGTTGGTAACTTGAAGAATTAGTAAAGTAAAATTAAGGAAGTTGATTTTCAAATGGCAAAGAAGAAAAAGCCCTAACATCCTCAGGTAGCTGGAAGAACAGGAACCAGCACTGATAGAAGTTCTCCCTTCCTCACAACAGGAAATCTCATTAATGCAGACGCCTTTGTTTACCTGCATCCGACTAACTTCAGAGGTTATTATCCACACTTTGAGGATGCCAGTCACCGAAACTGCGACAACAGTGTCCTCTGGGGAAACACAAACATCAGGCTGTAAGTACAAGGATGTCTTCATCTTGTTGCACCCTCGTGCATTTCTGAGTACAAAAAGATACTGAAAGCACCTCAACATTCAAAGTTTACAAAGCATTCCTGAAGCGCTTGCTTCAAAATCAAAGGTTTATTTGCAAAGTGACAATTCAGACACACAGATTCCACAGGTTTGGGTTTACATTGCTCAAATTAAATGTGGGGAGGGATGTGACACTGTTCCGAGTAGTGCTGTTGGACACTGCAAAGTTACTCCAGTGGAGTTACTACCTTCACAAAAACCAAAGCATCTCCAGTGCTTTATAGACATTCCTGTTCCTACCAGACGAGTATGGTGCAAGACCAAAATCCAAGGGGTAACTTCTTGATCACAATATAAAAACAATTACAAAACAAAAAAATAAAATTAAAGGCAGTATCAGGAAACAATACTGGAGTTCACTTCCAGTTGTTCCAGCAACTCAGATGTTGTGGGCGCAGCACCTGAGCGCAGCAAATTAACACAAACTACCAGAGCAAGAGATGTGTGGGCAGGAATGGCTCCAAACCCTGTCAACCAACGCAGCACCCAACACGAGCCTGCTCACAGACCTCTCTGCTAAACTGTCATCGCTTCTAGAAGCTCCTCCCTCCACAGCCTTCGGGTTTTTTAATCCTATTGTGCCCTTAAACACCCCTCCTACAAAAGGAGCTTTGAAAACGTTATGACAGTGCTTTTTATAAAGCTACTAATCACAAGAAATACTCATAGTACGTAGATATCTTGTCAAAAATGACAACTTAAAAGCTTGACAAATGATCCTGGTGTATACTACACGCCACGTTAGTGGCAGGTGACAGCCCTGGCCTTTAGAGAGCTGGCAGCCCTTCCTTCAGCCTCGTGCCAGTCTGCAGGCTCGTGCTGCCCCAGCGCTCTCCAGAACTCCTCAACTCTCAGGAGAAAGCACGTTATCACCCATGGGGAACACACTTTTCTTCTAAACAGAAAAATCACTCTTCCTGGAGGAAGGTTCCTCGTCCTTCAGGTTTCAGCACAGGCACACGCTGAAGATGACAGAACTGAATCTATTTACCAGGTGAGGCCGGATCCTGCCGAGCACACACACACAGAGCAGGATTTGGGGAGATTTGGGGTTCTGTTCATGCAAAAGCACATTTTAGCCAGAACCAAGGCTTGCATTTGATGGAACAGCAACAGAGACAATACTGTGTAGAGCTTCATCTAGCCTCTTTTTCAGACACTAGAGACAACCGTGTATACTTAGCTTTATGGAAAGCTTAATGCTTGCTGGGTGTTGCCCAAGACCACAAGAAGTAACATTCAAGTTCCTTGCCCGGTTCTTGAAAAAGTTGAAAACAGTGTTTCTCTTACAGGCAGGCAAAGCCACGATAAAAGCAACAAAAATAATTACCTTGTGTTCTATTGGATCGGATGATAGTCATGGAACTGATCCAGTCAGGAGATATCTTTGATAATAAAGAATAAAGAACTTCAAGGCTGGTGGCATCCACCACAAGGATTTCTGGATAATGTCCATGGCATAATAGTCTCCCTTCACGCTGAGTCCCAACCATAAACTGATAGAACTAAATGGACATTGACAAAAGTACAGAAATTATACTCCATGTGAGACACTGACTACTTCATTTGAAATCAAACCCGTAATTTCATAAACATATCGAATCATTCAGGCTGGAAAAGGCCCTTGGGATCATCGAGCTCACCCATCAGCCTGACTGCAAGTTCTCCCCTACATTCTAATTATTCCCCTATATTCTAATGCCTCTATGTTTAAAAATTTCCCCCCTGCACCGGCGAAGGGAGCTTTCTGCAGGGGCCCTTCTCCCCATTTCTTTCCCAAGGCAGTCCGCACCCTGCACACCCAGCTGCCAGAAGCCTGCCTCAGCCTTCCCTGCTGAGGTCATCCTCACACTCCTGCCTCCCCTGGCAGTACTCCTCCAGAAATCTCCTTTCTCTCCTTCCTTTCCAGCCTCTCTCAATAATTATGATGTTTTTTCAAATGGGAAGCCCAGCACAGATTTCCAGCTCCAGGGCATTTGATGATACAGCATTTATGAGATACTGCAGTACACATATAATGTAATTATGAAGCTTAAATAGCAAACAGCCTTATTTTGATAACTAATCCACAGCTATTCATGCTTTGCAATATAGAATAGAGTCTCTGAAACACAAAGTACTAACCTGTATGCCAGTGTGTGTGCAGGCGAGTTTAGTAAACTCTATGCACCTCCCATCATTCACATCCCACAGACACATCTCCCTGAAACATAAAAGGCAGATTAAAACTATATAGAAAACATCTTTCAGAAACCATTCACAGTGGGAGAAACTTAACCACCTGAACCATTTGTTAGTGACTTTATGGACTGTATTTAGATAAATGAAAGAATAAAAAGAAAAATGAAAAAAATCAATTTGAATTTCCAGTCCATCTCAATCTACACAACCTCTTCTTTCCTACAAAGATAAGGGGAAACAAGTGAAATGTCCAGGTTCGTCACAAACAGTCAATATTAAATAAACACAAGTACCTAAGTGAGAATTCCTCATTTCTCTCACAAATGTTTCAAGCCCTTACATACTGCTGCTGCACCCCCTAAGCACACAAAGATGAGCCTGCCCTCCCCACACCGTGAGGGTTCGGGAGGCAGCAGTGTCAGAGGGCAGTGACCGTGGTGGGTTCTCAGGGCCAGGCTAGGGGGTGGGAGCCTCTCCTGGGACTCTTCAGCGCTTCCAAGACCAAACTGAAAGCACTGAACAACAAATTCTAAGTCATACGAGTAGATACTTTTCTGACTTGCCTTTGAAACTCAGAAGCTATTCCAGGCTCCTGGTAACAGCAGTAGTTACTCCAACTCCTGGAAACAAAACTAGGCTCATATTCCGGGGGAAAAAAACCTCCTGCCTTCCAACTATCAGAACAAATCCACGGCCCAAGGCCTCACCTTCACACGGCCAGGCAGCACATGAGTGTCGGTACAGCTCGTGGGGCTACTCCGGGCACAGGGCCACCTTTGGGTGCTTGGATGTCTTTGCTGTCCGGCCCTGAAGAGCTCTGGAGAATTGGTTCAGTTGCTGTCCGGCCTCGAAGAGCCCTTGAGAAGGCACCTGGGCAGGGGCTCCCTGCCTCTGTCAGGCTGTTTAGGCTTGGCCCCCTCCCCATCCTGCCGGTTTGGCCATGCTGGGCCAGGGCCCAGCTCCTGACGGCCACCAGTGCCCAGGGACACAGGGGAAAAGCTCTCCACAGCGGGAGGGGAACTGAATTCAGGTGGCAAAAGCTACACATGAAACGGCAGCAGCACAAGTTACCAGCCAGCTGACAGTGCTCGCCCAGCAGAGGATGGCCCTGGCCAGTTACTAATGACCAGCCTGAGGCAGAGGATGGGAAGGAGAAGAGGTGGGGGGAAAACACCACGTGGGAATTATCAACAACAAAACTAGTTGGCCCCAAAGCTTTGGCCTGTAATTTACCAAATTGTAACTTTTAAATAAAATATACTTTGTACACTCACATTTTAGCCTAGATTTTGGGTCAATTTACTAAAAAGATACACCAAGTATGACTTTTTTTTCTTTAAATAACCTGACTGCAATCCCCATTAATTTCAACAGCATGACAAATCCTTTCCCTTTCCAGCCTCTAAACAGTTGCTCTGATTAGTAAATAGAACTGCTCAAAAAATAAAATGTATTTGCTGATGTATTTTTTTCTTAAGGATAAAAATCAAACAGAAATATAGCTAAATCGTTTGACAGATTTCCAAGTTTTAAAACATGTATTTCCTGCCAACAACTCAAGCTTGCTTTCACTCAAGAAACAGAGAAAAATGAGCAAAATATGGACCTACTGTCAACTGAAGTGACAAACTCAGGCAAGCGGAAAGATGACAGCAGTGCCTCGACTGAAGGAAACGTCACGCCTCTCCTCGCCCGCCCGAACATAAATCACCCCCAGCACTCCAGACACTGCTCTCCAAACTGCCTCCCAGACGGGAGGGAAGCAGCCCAGGACCCCGAGCATGACCCTGCGTCCGCTCAGGCACGAGCCCAACGCTCACACCATGCTCTGTGTCTGCAGGGGAAAGTCCCCTCGTGCGGGGTATCTATAGACGGCACACTCAGTCAAAAAAACCCCACGTGTGTAACAACCTGAGCCCTTCTCTACCCCCGATTTCCATTGTTTAACAGAGCAGCATCGCAATAAATCCTCTGGAAACTCACCCGCTCTCTGAGGCGCTCACTATATACTGCTTTTCACTGGAAGCAGAGGCCTTTGATAAACAAGTAATTGAGGCTGTATGACCAAACAACAGAGCTCTGGGATTAATCTACAATCGGGGAAAGAAAACGTGAATTAAAACCAACATAAGCACCATTACTTAACCAGAATATACACAGTCCAGATTTCCATTTCATATATCAAATAAATATAGAGGTGTTAATATATATACAGACACATAGACATTTAATTAGCACAGCAGCAGATATATAATCTTGAAGGAGTTTGCACAAAATGCTGCTATGGCATGTCGAAAAACTGTAATGCTAATTTGTGACAAAATGCCCTCACAAACGCACGCTCTCAATATTTTTAAATCATAAGCTGAATTTGGCATGATTTGAATGGGGAAAGAAAGCATGTTGTACTGCAACAATAGTTCCCCCCCAATCAAGTATAGTTCACAACCTTACATATTCATAAATAAGTTTATACAAAGCCCATACATAGATTAAAAATAAAACCCCCCTGCCATTTATTTGTCCTTTCTAGAAAGAACTAGTTGCTTTCTCCCGTTTTTTCTTTTTAAATTTACCAGACATAAACATAATTTATGGGGGTAACTCAAAGACACTGAGATGTTTAGACATTCAGCATCAACTTCGCCTGACGCCTGCTGCTTTTTTTTCTCTTCAAGAATGGATTGTTCTGCTATTCCATTCCAAGAGTTTAAAACTCTCTGTACCAAGGCAAACTGTGAGATCATATTCCAAAACAGACACTTGCAGTTTTCAACTCTAGGGCAGCCACTGGCATAAAACAATTAATCATCAACCTTTATCTCTGCAGCGAGCCTTTTGTCTCTTATGCTTTTCATGGGGAAAAAAACAGTTGAATAAAATAACCTTAAAAAGTTCTTTAAGCACAGTCCTCTGATGACTGGAATCCATTCTCATAAAACAACATTAAGCAGCTAAACTTGTAAGTCACAACTAGTTTAGAGCAGCTCCTGAAAAGAGGAAATAGTTACTTAAACAAATTGCTGCAGGAGCAGCAACAAAGTTCAAGAGGAAAAAGCTCTCTTTCTAATCTGCGGGAAGCACGTAGCGTCAATCCAGGCCTCACGAGAGGGAGGAAGAGAGGACAAGCACAGAGAACTGAAGACTGGCTGTAATACTGAAGAATAAAGTCACACTGGCAACCAGATACACACTTTAAACACAAAGAAATTAAGCTTAGACAGACTTTAGTCTTACCTCTAAGTCCAGAGAGAGGTCCCAGAGACATATCTGCCCGTCGTGGCACCCCGTGACGATCATGGAGGCGTCCTCCATGAGCAGCAGGGTGGATATGCAGTGCGTGGGGGCTTTACGGCCCCACAGGACGATGGGCAGAACCAGGCTGTTTCCTGCCATTTTGCTTTCACGCCTGTCAATTTAATCAAGAAAAGAAATATTACGGCTCAGTGGGTATGCCAGTCCTGCGCTTCGCATGTCCTTATCCTCATGGAAACTTCAAAAATGAGTCTGAAGTGACTTCATAAACATCTTGTACAAAGGGAACATTCACCGCATATGCCATTCTTCAATAAATGACAGGACACAATCCCACCTCCCCTCGCATCAGGGAGTGTCGGTATATGGATTCAATAACATTATTTAAACAGTTGCTTGGAAAATAAAGCAAATCATGGTAGGATTATAACTTTATGGTTTTGATTAATCCCACATTTTGCAAAAGGCACTTTTCTAAGTGGCATTTCCTTGGGCACACCTGTACTTTTGCTAAAATCACAGTAAATTTGAAGTAACGAGTGCTTTAAGTCCCAGGGTGCAGCAGCGATCATATGCCCGATAGTAGAGTCCACCCCCAGTTGCAAATGCAATAGCCTTTAGTCAAAAATAGGCTCTGGAGGTTTCTACAGACAACCAGGCACTTCTCAAGAACACTGTTCTGTTAGAACAGCGTCATGCTGACAAGGCTTTTTAAATTTATATTTATGTTGGAGTATCTAGTACCCTGCATTAGGTGAAATTAGAGGTGGAGAACCTTTCCGAGGTTAATGCCATTCCTTAATTCATACGCTGACTCCAATAGTTCATTCACCCTCACACACGCAGCTAGAAGAGGCTAACTAAACAATAACAGCTAACTGAAAGTAGAAACAGCCGATTTAAAAGACGTTAGTTATTCCTGTGACCCCTGCACCACCCACAGCATCACCGGTCCTTCAAGAAAAGCTGCATTTTTATTTATTCTGCACAAAAGCTGATGGTCTCGTGTAACCCGGTCATTCTGATGCTGATGATTTTGCAACAGCTGACAGAGAGCAACAACTGACCAGCCAGCTACTCAAGACAGAAGCTTGCTGAACTACAGTAGCACTAGATGTGCTTATTTAATATATAAAAGTACTTGTGCTCACCATGATTTGCCACCTGAACAAGATTCTGGCCACTAGCCAACAAGAAATATTCAGCATTGCTATGAAGATCTTATAAATATATTGACACAAATAACATGGATAAATTGTTACAGGTCACAATGTCAAAATGCTCTCGGTGACTGGGAAAAAGAGAACAACAAACACATTTCGGTCATAACTTAAGAGAGAAAGACATCATCACAGAAACTGAAGTTGTAGTAATAAAAAAGTTGGGAGGATCAGCACAAGCCTTAAACACCAAAACAAACCCCTGTTTTTGTTAGCAACATTCTGGGCTTGCCAACTACTTCAGTGTTTTTATTAAGTAGGATCCTTGAACCTGTGTTTGCTTGTACGGAGCCTGTCAACGTATGGTCAGCTCTCCAGGGGAGGCAAGGCGGGGGCAAGCAGCAGCTCTGGGGGCTGCCTGCCTGCCTGCCTGCACCCCCTGCCCACACCCAGAAACACCAGAAAGTCCAGCACAGGAAAAGGAAACTAAATACAAGATTTTCTTTTGCTCTCCGGGTAACCAACTGACCTCATGGTCCGTTTGGGTATACTTTTGGGCTATATTCTGCATTTAATAAATAAAAATACCAGAACTAAAGTTATATTTTGATTGTACTAACAACAAGTTTATACCAGACGTACATGAGATCTATTCTCAGTTACTATTACTGTCTCAAAACCAACTGAAATATAGTAAATGTAACCATCAGGCAGAGAAAGTATGTCAAGAATGACTGATGTTGTCTTAACAGTCTCTTATTCTGGATCAGAGTTGTAAGAGTTACTCCATTCCACCCCGGTAAAAGTTTGAGTTACGGAAGGTCATTGCTTGGAGCATTTTGTGATAAATGAATGGCTGAAATGGTTGTGCCAAATAAATAAATATTGCGGAGGTTTATATTCTGAAGTTACCACAGCTAAACCAGAGCAGAATTTCTGATTTAGAGGACTATAAACACACCACGCAGAATTCACTGAAGAAATATTTTTAAAATGCCCGTTTTCCTGCCTTTCCATAGATACACACAGACTCCTCCAGCTTAAGCAATCCAGCAATACTTGTATTTGTTCCCAGATACGTAAACCTATTTTAGAGTGCTTCTGAAGAAGGAAAAAAAATTCTGAATTCTGACAGAGGAAAAACAAAGGTCATCCTGAGTCTAAGTAAGGTTCAGGGCAACTCCACTTCCCCACTGCGATAAGCACAGTTCCCCTCCGTGTCCCTGTGATACTCTGACGGTTATAAGGAACTAAGGAGCAAACGGGCCGAGTCACGCTGACCCGCTGCTGCCCAACAACCCTGCCTGCCCTTTTTTCAAAGCACCAGCTCCAGATTTCCATGGCAGTTAGGGGAATTTAATCAAATCATCTCCAGTTCCATTGAAAACTAGCACACAAAGTTTAGTGTCTCCCCTTTGAGACAAATTCAGACTCAGCAGGAATGGAGGCAACAACAGAGATCTTGCCTGCACCAACCACAAACTTGACCTTTTGATCTCACCTGACCCCGGCCATTCCCGGGGGGACGGGGACTCCCACACTTCAACCAGCGTTTTCTGCATCAAAAATACCTTCTGCTTCAAAACACTGCGTTTTACTATACTACATGGAGTTCAACATAAAGTCATCTCTCATCTATATATAAATTACAATGCAATTGCTACAGAAAAGTAGGTTTTTATTAATTTTGACCAATGCTGCCTATACTCCTCGTAGCACCAACCTCTGCAGTCGGAGAAATCGAACATGATAGTGTGAATGGAAAAATGGGGGAAGGGAAAACAGCAAGAGCAGAACAATGAATAGCTAAGTATTACAAACTGTGACACAGCTTACAGGGCCAGCTGGGTGTACCAAGCTTCAAAGTTCTGAAAAGTGAGAGACAGATTATGGTTTTTCATAAAACCTGTATCACAAACCCAGTAATTTCACTTACCATGAAGTGCCATTTTACGCCAGCTCCTCTCTTGCATCCAATTGGACCATCTTTATTAACAACCACTTATTTTAGTCAGAGTTGTTATTTAATAAAGACGAACAATCAAGCATTTAAATCTACTGCAACATAATAAAAGCTACCCTGGAATAATTAGTTGCAAAAGGTGCCTGTAAATGTAGGGTTAATTGTTATGCAAGGGATCAATTGTTCTATCTGGATGATCACAATACAGCACTGTAAAAAGAATTCTAAATTTTTTTAAAATGTGGTAATCTTACTAAGAGCTATGATTCTAAAAATACTTGAGTGAAGTAACCATGAAAATATAGTGAAGAACAGAAGTGTTGAGATGTGATACAAAAAAAATAAATGCAATCGCAAACAACAACAAAATCACCAAACCAAACAAAAATACCTATTTAACTCTTTTACCACCCAACTTTTGTAACGAAGTAAGATAAAGGACACACTAGGAAAGGCGGGGAGAGACAGAAATTTCTTTGCTTTATATATATTAAAGCACTTGAGTATCAATCAAGGTACAGTGCTCTTTACAAACTGTTCTTCCCTCACTACCTGCAAAAAGCTCCATTCAGCAGCTCTGCCACTGTGGCCTCGAAACACAAAACTGCCCCGATTAATCCCCAAAGATGCCACCACTGCAGCCCTGCAGGTAACCCCCGGAGCACCCCCGCAGCCCAATTAGGAGACAGCCCGGTGTAGCGGGGATCTCACAAGTACTTCTTTGGCCACACTTCCCCCAAGGATTTTTTTTTTTGTTACAGTAAATGGTATTGGATCATCAGGGTCATCTATGCAGCGAATTTTAACAGATAATACAGCAATCCATCAAGAACTTCAGAGCTGAAAAAATCTAGGAGTAAAAGCACTGATAAGAAACATCAAAATCGCTTCTTACTAACTTCCTATCGCCCACAGTCCAGGGACCAAGTCACAGTATTTACATGTCACTTGATTGTTTCAGCGATGCAAACGGCTGCATTCTGAATAAATACTGAAGCTCCCCTACCAGGGCACAAAATTGTTCCTTGAAATTTTGCGGTTAATTTAATGCTCTTCCAAACTATTTATAAAAACTTCAAAATCAACAGCACCATAAAGACATAAACTCAATTTTCAGAGGGAATGTATAGGGTATTACAACACACAAAAGTATTAGCACATATCAGTAACCTAATATATATTGTCCATGCAGAAAAACAACATTAGAGAGCACTGAAAACATTAACAGCAAAACACTTTCTAAAGGCTCACAGATATTCACAGTTCAAACCTTCAATCTAAGAGAAACCAAATTCTTAAGAGTATTTCACATCAACCCTTGGGAGAGAGAGAGAGCGAGCGCGAGCAAAAAGAAAAAACTACCTCTTTCCTTCTAGTTTTTTATTATGGTACCGCAACGCCTTCATTAAAAACTTCGTTTTCAGAAAGCACCACAAGTTCATTTTAACAGCTGAAGAATTCAGTCTACAAAGAACAACCCTCCTCTACCTTTGGCGAACGCCAAATACACCCCCTGCAAAAACCAAAACTCACTTATTGCCTGTAAACAATCAATATTTTTTTGCATCAATGATGACAAACTACAGTAGCAAATAAACACTGTACCCTGACAAACGGTCACAAAGCAGGCTGTGAGTCATTACAGATGAAATCCCACGTTCTAGTTACGTGTTCTCTGGCTAGAATAAACTATTTTTGCAGAAAAGGGAACTGGAAAATTGAGACATCAAACTGAGTAGAGATCTTCCTGCTTAATGCCCCTCTGCCTCCCCTGGAATTGTTAATTTTTTCTCAGCCACTTCCACAAGTGCCAGAGTCCCAGTTTCCTTCCCCCGAGCACCCAGTAAGAGAATGAGTTGGTGGTACGGCATGGCTGTGGGGGTGTAGGCGTGTATATAAATATATGTATGTAAAAAAGCATACTTGTGGTTATTTTGCTTCCCTTCCAAATTACCTCTCTCAGACAGTAAATACACAGATGCAGAGATGTGGCAAAAGACCTGACAATGTGGAACCTCTCTTTTTTGTCCT